CGCAACCCTATTTCTTAGTTAACCATGATATTATTGGTCGCAAACGTTTTTTTTATATATATTCATAACATTTTCAGTTTTTAACTTATATTCTTATACTAAGAAAATCTAAAGGTCAATCAGCTTAAATTCTAATAACATTTTAAGTCCAACCTAAAATGTTAATAGTATTCATAATATTTACAGGGTATGACTTATTTTCTTACTATGTATAACATTTTAGTGTAACCTTTTATGTTATTCCGATGGATAACTTTTTCGATTCTAACTTAACATTTTAAGTAACGCTTTTAATCTTTAACCATTTTCACCGATTACGCCCTTCATTAGTCTTATTTTAAGTTCCTCACAGCATAACCACCGAAGAAAGGATCCATGGGAGACTGCAAAGAATTCTGCAGGTCATTTTTTTTATCTTTATTAAAAGAATTGTGCGAGATAGACTGTGGGGGATACAAGGGGATTGTTCTACAACTCCTGTAGCCATGCTTTAGGGGATGGACTTGATTAAGAATGTCTTATTTTTGTTTAGGGGCTAAAAACTTGGTTTTGAATATATGAGTTTCTAAGCAGGTGTTATTTTTTTTTGTATAAATGAAAATTTTATTTATCTAAACAAATATTAAATCATAAATATATAAATCAAACATACTAAAAATAAATCTAAAAGTACTTTCTCAACAAAATTTTATGAAAAATAAGTTCATAAATTAAAAAGATTCAAAATGATGACACTGATGAAAATAAAGAATAAAGAGTGAAAGGTACGAATCAATTTATCTCGTTGGTTAAAGGAATAACTATTATCTATAGAAGTTTCGGGTTTGAGTACCAACAACTACATGATATTTAAATATTTATTGTCAAATTATTATGAATCTTTAGAATATATATTATCACTTATTGTCAAATGATTGCGCCAAGTGGGAAGGGATAAGTGTCCAATAAGATTTTTTTGGTTAATTAGGCCCACACTCCTTGTTGATTTTTTTTAGTCATGGTTTAATTGTAAATCTTTACTTGAATTTTTAATTCGATGCAATTTAATCCTGTATACATTCTAATTACTTTTAATTTTCCCTTCTTTCTTAACGTGCATATTTATTAAATGTAAATGTTAACTTTAGAATCTTTTATTTTAGTCCCTCATGTTTAATTATAGACTTTTATATATATATATATATATATATGAGTACATACATCACATATATACTTATATATATACATACTTATGTATATATTTTATACTTATATATTATATACTTTATACTTAGATATATATACTTTTATATATATATATATATACAGTTATGTACATACATATATACTTACGTATATACTTATACCATATAGTGTATATATATATATATATATATATATATATATATATATGTATATGTTAACTTTAGAATCTTTTATTTTAGTCACTCGTGTTTAATTATGGACTATATATATATATATATATATATATATATATATATATATGAGTACATACATCACATATATATACTTATACCATATAGTTTATATACTTACATGTATACTTATATACTTATGCTATATAGTTTATATATATATATATATATATATATATATAACGCTCAATCACCCTGCTGCAGTCGCTGGTGCTCAAACCCGTGACCTCTAGGAACAACAACGATTCCTTTAACTACTTAGGTAAATTGGTTCGTGTTGATATTTTATAGTTTATATGATTGATAATTTATATACTATATATATACTATATAGTTTATATATTTTATACTTTATATATATATATATACAGACACTTATATATATACTTATATTATATATTACTATATATAATTATATATATTATATATATACTTATATATATTATATACATATATTATAAGTATAATGTATACCTATATTATATACTTATATTCTATGCATAAGTATAATGCACATTATAATATATATACATATATTATATTATCATAACATTCATCATACATATTATATTATTATATAATATATACATTAATATATATAATAATTGGGTCATTTTTTTCTCAACTTTTGAAATGAATGCAATTCAGTTTATTTGACAAATTTTCTTTACATTTTACAATTATTTCGATTTGACCCTTCTATGTCGTTTAATTTATTTAAATTTTAATTTGTAATTTTATAGTTGTTCAATTTAGTCCTTAAAATTATATTTTTATTTGATTTTGGCCCATATTTATTTATATTTTTTGTAATTTACTTCATACCCTATAAATCACATAATAAACTTTATTTCAAATTTTATAAATTATATTATAATCTCCAAATCCTATAAACTTTTGTTCACAAACTTTTTAAATGGATACAATTTAGTCCAATTTTATATTAATTTCAACTTCACATTTTAAAATTATTTCAATTTGATCCCTCGTCAATGCATGTTGTTTAATTTATTTAATTTTTTGCAATTTCATGTTTGTTCAATTTAGTCCTTCAAATTATATTTTATCAAAATTGATCCATAATTATTTATATATTTTTTTATTTACTCTCTAAATCATATACAGCTACAAATTGCAATTCAACGTTCATAAAAGGTGAAAAATAATTAATCCAAAAATAAAAAATGACCCGACCTGAAATCAATCCGTATCCGATAAGATTCAACCTGAATTTTGTCTGTCAATGATGTGACCCGATCTGAACGAGATCCAACTGAAGTCCATCCGAACATAAATTAACATGTTATTTAACTGCTTCGGCCTTGAATTGTTTTTACTTGAACTGACATCGATCCAAATTGAAATTAACCCGACCTGAACTTGAACTGAATCTGATGTCAAATCAACCTTAAAATGATCTGAACTGATTTTACCTGGACCGGATCTAATCTGAATCGAACTATTAAATTGACTTGACACGATCTATATCCGATTTTATTTGACAGGATTCGACAGAAACTTGAATGATTAGATAATTTACATCCACAATGACAAGGGATTAGTTGTCTTTTGGGGCGTCAATGACACTTTTATTGACTCTGCCACTGCAGAGTGAAAATGGGAAGTTTTTTCAACTGAACTGTGGCCTTATATACATGTTTATTAATAAACTAAGAGGCACATATCCCTACAACCCTTTGCCCTACAATTCTCTGCACTTTGTGTGTTTTGGGCTAAATTCCCCACTCCGCTCCAGCTGTGTCCCAAGCCAACCAAGCCTCTCCTTCACAAATTATAAGTATGGGTGAATAATCTATTAAATTTAATAAAAAAATATTCCAAGTTAGAAGAATTAAATATGATAATTTTAAGATTCAAACCAATTAATTTTTTTATTTTATATATTTATACATCTAAAGCCCTATTATTTTCTTTAAAATAATTTTTTTGGATATTTCAAATGCGGTTTAGATGGCATTCTAATGTCTTCATCTCTCATTTTGTCTTTTTTTTTTACTTAATTTTCTTTTGATTTAGATCTAAAAATTTGTTTTGAATTGTTTTCGTATATTCTTAAACCACTTATTTCTATTTATCTTTATAACACAGTTATTTATCTGTTTTTATGATACGATTTTATCTATTATTATAATAATTTAGCGTCTCATGTTGAATTCATCTTGATGTATCTTCTAACAAAAAAGATCAATGGTCTCATATAATTAAATCTATTTTTAAAGCAATGTTTATTTAATTAATATTATAAAACTAAGTGGAAACAACTAACAGATAATACATTACAAACTCCTGAAAGAGTCGAACAATTCCTCAACAATTGTATTAGTCTGTAAAAAATATTATTTTGCTCCAATTAATACAAATGATTAAATTGCTTAGATAGAAAATGAAACTCATAAACAGAGTTTAAAATATTTATCCAAAAATTGATGATGCTTTTAAGTATGAAATTAAAATGTCTCTTCAAAGTGATGTTCTCCCGTACGGCTTAAGCTATTAATCCAAAAATTGATGTTCCTAAACATGAATTTAAATTATTTATTTCAAACATGGTGTTTCTGGAAACAAAATTAAACACTCTAAATGGTTTTCTTTAGATATAGTTATACGAACTAATGAAAAATACCCAAAAAAACAATTTTTTTAAAAAATGTATGCATAATTTTAATTTTATTTTATAATTTAATCTTTCAATTTTTATTTAATTTAATTTAGTCGTCCGATTATAGCTTTTTACATATTCTTTCTTCTCATCAATTATTTGACTCATCTATATTCTAATCAATATTTTGCCCTTAAAATATCATTTTTTTTAAATAATATTACTAATATATCAAGAATTTTAGATATTAATAATTTATTAAATAGCATTACAAATCTTACTTATAAGTACACGTGGAAAAGGAATATATATATATATATTATGGTTAGATAGTCTTTTAGAATAGAAGCAACCAATACCATAATATTATAAATGATTATAACTAAAACTAAAACTTAAATATAAATAAAATTATGATGATAAAATAATAGTTGTCAATTTAAATAATTAAATTTGTTAATTTAATTTGATTAGACTCGATCGGATACTCATTGCTAATTGTGTGTTTTCTTTGATATTTTCAAATAGTTTGTTAAACTCTTCTAGAAATGCAAAGATAAGAGTTTTATCATCATCATCGTCATTATTATTATTATAATTAATATTTTTTGATGTAACATCATATCGATTACATTACTGCGCAATTATGTTCACATGAACGTAAGACCTTACGCTCCCATTCTTATAATAAACAAAATCGTAATTTTGTTTTTACGGGCAAGAAAAGAAAAACATTTTCATTCTAATTTATCAAGAAAAAGTCATCAATTCAAATTCAACATGTCTTTCTTCCATTTTTCATTCCCAAATGCACGTGTGGGAGATAAAAGCTAACGTCACAGCCCGGCCGAGAAACTTCTTTGTTGCATAAGATAAACTTTCTTGGAAATCAAAAAGAAATTGCTTTCCCTCCAAGTAGTCCATTATATATACACAAAGAAAAATACATCAGCAGTCGAAAAAGAATGGGGTTCTCTGAATCAAGGCATGGATGCAAGAAGCACCCAGATCACCAAGGAAACCAAGGGGTTTTCCCATCGTGTCTAAGGGAAAGATTATCTCGTCTTTGTTCATCATCTTCTTCGTACAAAGAATCTATTAATTCAAGAGTCTCTCCTTCACTGCCTTTTTCTCCGGCAGACCAAAACCCTTGGCCTTCATCCTCTTTCAGGGCCACTTCAAATGGTTTTAAGAAGAGTAAGTCCCTTGCTTTTGTAGCAAGAGATTTCGATGGCGAATTTAACAATGGGAAGAAAAAGGAGAAGAAAGGATTTTGGTCAAAGTTGGTTGGCTTCAAGAGGAGGAAGGATTTTCTTACGCATTCATCCAGTATGAGGTTTATTATTGGAAGAGCGAATTGATTGGTTTCTTTTCTCTTTTCATTTTTTTTGGGTTGTCACAAAATCATGGGATTGGGAATTGAATGGATGTTTTTGTAAATAACAAAGCCTTCAATCATTTTGATTGTGGTGTTTTATCATTCTTCATTCCTTTTCTTGATTAATTTTAATTTCTTAAAGAAACACGTACAATTAGGTTTTAGGTCTTTGAATAATCTTTTTGTCGATGTATTTTCATTTTTAATGTATATTGTTATATTTTGATAAAAATTATAATAAGTAATTAAGTTGAATTTTATAATAATTTTAGTGGTAGAAGATTAATTAGTAATTGAATTTATTTAATAAGTAAATATTTACTCTAGGATAGAATTCTTATAGAATAAGAATTCTAGATGACCAACTACTTCAATTTGGTTCTACAAGTAGAGATTAAGTATTAACCTTTAGAATTAAGTGAAATAAAATTATTTTAGAGAGATATAATTCTTTTTGTGATTTATACAACTTTTACGATTTACTATAGGGTATTGCTTTATTATATCCCTCGACTATTAGAAGTTATAAAATGGTCATCTGACTATAGAGTGTTATTTGTTGAGTTCCTCGATTATTAAAAGTTATAAAATGATCACCCAACTATTCATTATGTTTTAAACTCGTCCCTTTGCGTTAAAAATTTGGCGGTATTATGAGTAAAATGTTAACATGCTTACTGTGATATGATAAAATCTGATCTCAGAATCTCAAACGATTATCATATCTCAGTCATCATGTTAACATCCAACTTAGACAACTACCAATTTTTTATCGAAAAAGGACGGGTTTGGAACATAATAAAAAGTCGAGTGACTATTTCATAACTTTTAATAGTCGAGGGACTTAACAAAGCAACATTTTATATTTGATTGACCATTTTGTAACTTTTAATAGTCGAATGACTTAATAAAGTAGTATCTTATAGTTGGGGGACAATTTATGTACTTTAACCTTTATTAAATTATTATTTATGACTGGCAACACGTCGTTTTAATTGCCAAATAAATATGCCTTAATCTCAATAAAAATAAAATGGGAATAAGTAGAATTGAGAGAGTAAGGGTGTATCCACAGAGAATATTGTAATTTCCAATAAATTGGTATTCCTTTTATGCTAGGTGTGCACTGCAAAGAAAGTAAATAAAAGGGGGTTGTTGTTGATTGAAGAATATGAAGTAAAAATTAAAAGTGAATCAATTTGAAAAAAATTCTATTTGTAAAAATCAGCCTCGGGCTTTTGCTTTGCCTCAAATTCCAATCAATCCTTGAATAGGATTTTACTCCGGTTAAATGTATGTTTGAGTCCGTAACGTTCAATCCTTGTAGCTCACTTTTCTCTTTCGTGATTGATTTCCCCAAATCTATTTTAGAATTCCCAATCCTTGTTTAGAATAACTGTGACTATCGTTGTCAATTCAAAATAGTTTAAAAGCGCTTGAAAAACCGACTCGAATTATGTTTTCTCTATGAAAGTCGAACTCACTTCCAATATTCCCTTAGCTTGCAATCGTTAAGTGTGCCCAAGGGAATTCGAATCAAATTGATTATATAATCCCAGCGATAAACTATAACAACATCCAAGCCAAAATCTATTTTCGAAATGAAAGCGTTTTGATTTAAAGAAAAACTATCCACCAATCTTGTTTTTTGAAAAATGAGAAATTTAACCCAAGAGGGTATGAGGTGCTTTTCAATTCTCACGTTAGGATTTTAGTCATCGCTTCAGCCTTCGGCTATTAAAAACTTAGCTAAGTATGATAGAAATCATACTTAACATTTTTCTAGAAAAAATATAACTTGAAAAGTAAAAGAAAGATAAATTAAACAAAGAAAAAACTTTTATAAAAACTAGATAAAAGAAAGAACAACACAATTTCGATGATGTTCAAGCATAACCCAAATGGGGTATTTATAGTTCTTAAGGTTGAATTCTAACAAATGCAACAAAAGATAAATTCCATAATTGTTCAAATTAAATCCCCAAAATAAAGGAAATCCCAAAATTCAAGTCTAATTTGTGTTGAGTGTTCTGTCTACACAGAATTGCCAGATGGACCTTCTAGAAGATGCTGATTCGTTGCCACATCAACAATCATGCCCTAAATCATGCCCACTAATTCAGCTATGATTCTAGAAAAAACATAAAAGCTGCAGAATTTTGACTTTTTAGCTTAGTTTACAGAATTCAATGTCCTGCATGAAAAATAAGAGAAAACAACTTAGCAATATAAAGCGATGAATCAAGGAGTAATTAATAGTAAAATAATAACAAAATTTAGTGTACATCGAATTACCCCTTACTTATTCAATGCTTGTCTTCAAGCATCTCTCAATCAATGCACCAAAAATTTCAAGTTGCCATCTTAATTTCACAATATTTCCGAGACTTCCAAGCAAATTAAAATCAAAGCAATTGAAAAATTCAAGAGCAATCTAGCAAAAGGCATAATTAAAAGCAAGTAATTGTAAAACATGACATTCCAATTATTCATTAATCTTGAAGAAAAAAAGACTTAGCACCTCACAAGGTTCACTCATTCTGCTCAAGTGTTTAAGGGTAAAGAATCGCTCAAGTCGAACTAATCAAATCATTTCCATAGGCTTGTAACTAAATCTAATTTCCACTGCTAGTATGAGCATGATGCAATAGTCAAGAGGTTTTTAAAAAAGGGTGTAATGGGGCTAAGGTTCGGGTAAGATAAAGGCTAGGAATCGGGTTAAAGATTCAAGACAAAGATATGATTGTTCCAAGGTATTATTCAAAGAATGTAATTATCAAAGAAAGTAAAAAATAAAACAAGAAATCAGATGTGCTTGAATATATATATATACAAGGGCAGGGCCAGGATTAGATATAGACAGGGGCCGAAATATTAAACTTTTTTAAGAAAAATACAGTGACTTATTAAGTATTTAAACTTACAATTCAGAAAACAATGTCTAATTTGTCTAATAATTAAATTTATAATGACATATATTGTTATTATCAAAAAATTGAGAACATTGAATTATCATTCCTTTTTTTGTATAACCACCGGTTTCTAATCTATTGGTCGACTAAGTCGGATCAGGTACTGCATAGGTGAGGGCGACCCTCCTAACCCAGTTTGCTCCATTTGTAATCGCCAAGGTTCGAACCCCTGACCTTACTTAAGGGATTTAATGCCCCATTCCGCTAGACCAACCGGTTCTTTGTATTGGATTATTATTCTTTAGTTTGCCCCTACTTGATTAAATATCTAATAAATTCTTATATTTTTTAATTTAAATACTTAGTTTTACATTAACTAAAATATTATTAGATCAAATTTTATCGAACATAAAATAATTTTACAGAGGCCGAGGCCCTTTGGGCCCTAAGGGAGCTCCGTCCCTGTATTTATATATATATTCCACTACTTTGTTTGAATTTTTATGTGTTGTACTGTATTTTTCTGTTTTTATTCGAACCAAAATTGCACTGTTTTTTCCTATTCAAACAATGTGAGTTTTCTACTCTATTTTTCTGAACAGTTTCGAACCAACTCTGCTCCCCCTTTTTTTAGTAATTCAAAATAATCTCACTTTGTCTTGAATTAGGGTAAGAAAAATAGGGGAAACAAAAATGAAATAGGCTTGGGTTAATGATGTGGTAAACAAGAATAGGGTAGGGCTCAACAATGGTTAATTAGGGGAAATGAGCAAATGGTAGGTTAATTTTTTTTGGAGAGAAATGGTTAAATCCTGATACCTCAATCTTACTAAATGCATCATATTCAATAATTTAGTCTCAATAAGCATTACATTACAAGTTCTAAGATGCAAAAAAATTAGTCGGCACACTCAAAATCTACAAAGACCAAAAATGCAAATGTATGCTCATTAGGCTCAAAACTCACATGAAAGGTTTATTTGCACTAAGTCAAGCTATCATTTCAACCAAAAAATGCATGGAATATCAAAAAAAATTAAAGAAAAACCCAATTAATCATGCCAATTGCTATCATGCTTCATAAGTTCCAACAAAAGGGAGATTAAAATTCACAAGAAAAATCAAAGAAACAAGGAAAAAAATAAGATAGGAAACAATAGATTTCAACACATCAATTCATGAAAAATTCAAGTCCAACCAATTGAATAAGTAAGGTAAATCTGATTCAACTTCCACCCCCCACTTAAATTATTGTCATAAAATGTAATTTACTGCAAGATAGGGAATGAAAACACTCCCCTAATCAATGTTGGTTGCGGCCATAACCACGTTGATATGGCCGCATAGAGTTTGGGAACAAATTCCCTTGGTGTCGCGCGATGCTTGCTGCTCTTGGGGAAGAATTTTGCCATGTTCGATCCAATTTCAATGCTTCGCTTTATCCAAATTCGACTAGGAATAATGGGGTACCATTAAAAATAAAAAATAAAAACGAGTAAACTTAAAAATCGAAATAAACAAATAAAAATTGAAGAATGAGTTCCCTCCCATTAAGCACTATTTTAAACGTTGTTAGCTCGACGACCTTTCTTGTTAAATCACTGGTTCCTCAAAATCAATTTCTTCGACTAAACTGATCGGAGTATTTTCATAATATGGCTTTAAAATTTGGCCGTTAACTTTAAATTGGGCTCTGGAGTCATCTTCAATATCAATCACTCCATGAGGAAATATTTGAATTACGGTGTAAGGTCTGAGCCACTTTGATCGAAGCTTTCCTGCAAAAAGTTTCAGTTTAGAATTAAATAAGAAAACGTTTTTACCGATAGTGAAAGATTTAAAAGAAATCTTACGATCATGAAATTGTTTCGTCTTTTCTTTGAATATTTGAGCACTATCATAAGCGTTTCGTCAGATCTACTCCAATTCTTGGATATGCAATTTACGAGCTTCGCCAATCACTTCCATCTCCAAGTTGTATTATTTCACCGCCCAATAAGCTCGATGTTTAAGTTCAATCAATAAATGGCATGGTTTCCTAAAAACTAGAATGTAAGGAGACATTCCAATT